TTTGCACCCAATTAGAACATGTTTTCTCATCACGTGCACACGATTTAACTGACGGTATCACGTTCTTTAAAGCATTGATGAATCGAAACAAGCACTTTAAATGAGTTCAGAGTAATATGTCTCGTTCTTTAAGATTTGATCTTGAGGAAACGAAACTAGCGTGATAAAGATTTTAGGATGCTGTTGAGCATGATAAAATTTCGAGCGACTTAACTAGAAATTTCGCGATCGGACGACATAAGCTTAAGCTTAACCCTCAGAACTCTGGTTTCGGGCGAGATAACTTTCGGGCAACTTGACCGTAAGTCATACTGGTTGAAAGGCAAATATGTTTCTATAATATTTATGAACAGAAATAACTTACAGAGCATTCAGGATCATTATCTTTGGGTTGTCGAAAGAGCCTTCTCTTCGTGACGTTAGCCTTTAACGTTGCCACTTCACTTTGCAGTTGTTGATTTTCTTTCCGCATTTCCGACACTTCACCAAGTAGTCGCCTCACAAGATCCCGTTGCGTTTCTGGAACAGTTCGTGGCGTTTCTTGATCGGTTTGTTCCCTTTCTACGCTCTGTGTTGCCATTCTACTTGCTTGATCCGGCGAACTGCCAACAAAAGTGCGCTTGAACTCGAAGAAATGTGAGTCGATTTTTCCCGCCTCACGAATGACGCTCTTTGACACTGACCGGTAAACAAAAGAACAGCGAGCCCACGGTATGCGTAGTAGCATCTGCGCAATAGACTATAATCTCGATCAGTTGTTTACGAGTGCGGAGATTTCCCTCCTTTCAGGTTTTACCAGCGTGTTTAGCGAAGTTCATAGTTTTATTAAAGTTGATTTCTAAACAATGAAGAGGAAAGTTTTTCATGGGGACGAGAATCGTAGGAAGAAGAGACACTGGAGCAGGCAAAAGTGTGGACATTGTGAGCAGTTCCTTGGCCATACACAGTATCACGAACACTGTCGGCTCTACTTTAATTCAACTTTAAATCAGTGGACAACAGTTCACGATCTCAGGCAAAAGAAATGTGAGCCAGAAGATGTTCCTGGGTCAAGTTCGAGCGAAAGCGAAGGTAAGATCTCGTGTCACTCTCGCTTACTAGAGTTCCCTAAAAAAAAGGCAAACCCTTTCCAAAGCCTGGTTTCCATATGATCGCTGTGATCGCTGCGATCGATCGCTGAGAAATAAAAAGTTCAGCGATCGTAGCGATCGCAGCGACAATGATCGCTGAGATGGAACTTTTTTCCTATCTCTGCGGTCGTTGTCGGTGCGATCGTTGGAAGTTGGTTTCCTTGTGATCGCTATGATCGGTGCGATCACTTAACCTTTTTTTTCTCAGCGATCGCAGCGATCATATGGACCTCAAACGACATAAACCTATAAGACTTACTAATGGCGTAAATAAGTGTTTGTTACCGGTCAAAATAAATTTTCTCTGTCCCTCAATATAGTTTAAATTTTTTTAAAAACCTACAATCCTCGTCACAATTCGTTGGAACAGAAACCGTTTTCCTTGAATTTTTTGAAAATGTCTTACCTTCACTCTTCTCACCTTTGCTCTCACTCAAATGTGCCCCTCTCCTTCCCCAATGTTGAGCCATGCGTATTACGGCTGTAATACCCAAATCAATCCTGGGGAAGGGGAAAATCACACTATTGTTCCAAGATTTGTGACGAGTATTGTAGGTAGATTCTCAGTTTCCTTTGTCTCCTATACCTAAGAAACAAGGAAAATTGAAAATCAACCTAAGTTAAAATTTAACCTGGTAGTTATGGGTTTCCAAATGTAAATTTGTTTAAGTTTATGTTCCTTCTGGTCTGTTATTGTAAAGTTTGTGTTTTTCTGCGAATAAGCGGCAAACTTAAATGCTTCTTCTCAAAAAAATATATGTATACCAGAAATGTCAACTGTTTAGTAGCCTGCGTACAGGCTCCCAAGTGGAACAGGGCAAAAGAGAAAGCATAGCCTGGAGGAAAAAGGTGGGGAAGCCTGTAGACTTTGTTTTGATGCCGCCCACCCATGATACCAGATTCTGGTATTATGATCTGATCGGTCAGAGCTCTGGCTGTTCACAAGTGAGCAATGAATATTGACAGATGTTGTCAACGATCTGTCACACATTACAAATTTGCACCGCAGGCTACGAAAAATACCCACGTGTCAGGGAATGTTATTGAAGCTGTTGCATTCAAGCATAAAAAGGTCATAATTTAACAGGTCTGATTATATTTCATGACTATTAATAACATGGTTTTTGAATGTACATGCAGATGGAACCTTTGATTCTTTTTCCAAGTCAGTCACACAAGATGTTCCTGGAAGTGACTCGGGTATGTAGAATTTAATATCATGTCAAAGCCACACTTCATTTTGAGGAATACTTTTGATTTTACCACTTTCACTGTATTTAGTTGTAGAATTTATTAGTATATTGTAAATCATAATAATTCTTATTAGATAAGCCACAGCCTGACATAAGACAAGTTTAGAATTGAAAAAG